CCCCCCCAAAAAAAACAAAAAAAACCAGAATTCATCTCCAACAAGGTTTTATATTGATTCTCACATTGGGACAAGTGGCAATGCCTCCAGGCAACGGGCTGTAAGAGGTAAGACCTCTCACCTTAGGAAAAATCCCTCTTCATCCAAAGTGCCAAGAGGCACAAATCACCAGAGTCCTGTGTCTCTATGGTTCATCTTCACCAAAATTGTGTACATGGGTATTTCTTGGGAATTCCTGCCACACCAATGAGCACATTGGCCTGGTGTGTGTACATGCCTGCACACAGGTACACACACATACATGCCTGTGGACACATACCTGTGTGCATGTGTCCATGGATACAGGCATATATGCACACATATGTGGGTGTGCGCACACATACACAAGGTCCATATACACGATGTGCTCACGGGTACATGCATGTATGTGCATGTATGTGCACATGGGTGCACACGCTAATCCTTGCCTTCCAATGAAGACAATAATACCAAAAGAGTACTTCAAGGTCTTCAAATGACTGGATGTACAAGACCTCATCTTTTCTGATCCTCATTTTATTGATGACATTGAGACTCAAGGTAAGTGACTCAACCAGGATCACACAGTCACAGCTGTCCCTGTACACATGACCAGAGACCCTCCATCCTTCCACTGACTCACAGAGATTGATGGGCACAGAGTCTTCACTGAATCTGCTGGAAGGACTGACCCCACGATCAAGTTCCCATTCGAACAGTCCTGGGCTTCTGCCTCCAGCCCTGAGGCGGATGACTTCTCTGCAAACTTTCGGAGGCAGATCTGGGGTGTTCCCTGAGAACCCCAGTACCAGCTCGGCACCCTCTCCCACATAGCGGGACACAGTGCCTGGTTCCCACCAATGCTTCCAGCCGGATGACTCCTGGTGGCCACTGTAGCCAGGCAGCAGCTTGGCAGTGGTAGGCATGACGTCATTGGCTGGAGTTTGGGGGAGTGACATCATGCATTCGGCTGCTAAACCGCTGCAGGGGACACCATTGAACTGCTCTCTGCTGAAGAACCAGATGGCCTGGGGCAGGGCAGGGCCACAGCCTCCCAAGGGATTCCCAGCCCTGCACCAAGCTCAGGAACAAGGCAGCGAAGGGCCAGCCGTGGAGTCCAGCTTCTCTCTCCACTTCCTAATGCACAGAGTCCTGGCTGGGGCCCACGCTCCTGCAGCTCTGATGAGGGGGGCTGGTAAGGGCTAAATGGCGCTCTCTGTCAGGAAGCCCCAAGAGCGATGCATCTCATCTTCCTTTTCTCCCTGTAAATGGGCCTGACCGTTCTTGCCAGGGATCTGCCCCCCCTGCCCCAAGCTTCATGTATGAATGGCCAGAACCTCTTGACCAGAAGGTCATTGTGATGCATTTATCCAAGTGTTGTGTGATCCCATTTAAACCATTCATGGCCTCCCAGACCCATGCTCTCTCACAAGTACTCATGCCCAGACACCCCCACGGACCCTCCCATGCCCTCACACACACACACACACACACACACACACACACACACACAACCTCCCATACTGCACACTCACATGCACACACATAGACACACACTCATGTACATATTCACAAGCCTCCATGTACATTCACACACACGTGCCCATATACATGCCATCTCCATAAACAGTCTTAACTGCAATAATGTCCAGACACATCCATGTAGCCCCCACATAAACACAGCCTCCCACACATCACTCACACACACATTGACATGCACCACCCCATACACATACATACACATGCCCATATGCACAGACCTCATACACATATGCATATACACCTGTACAACTAGGTCACAATTAATGTGAGTTCCAATAATGCAAGGTTCTATTTCATGTGAATTATGAAATATCAGGTCACATTAAATATGAGTCAAAATTCAATCAATGTAAGGAGTATAAGCTAGCTAAGGGTTTTAACACTTTACTACATTGTTAGGACACACTTGCATGGATGGGTTGGGCTGTTCTGATTACCTGATTATCAACAGTTGTGTTATTGTTTTTATTATTATTTTTTTTTTTGGTGAGGCAATTGGGGTTAAGTGACTTGCCCAAAGTCACACAGTTGGTGAGTGTCATGTGTCTGAGGTCGGATTTGAACTCAGGTCCTCCTGACTCCAGGGCCGGTGCGCCACCTAACTGCCCCTGTGTTATTGTTTTTAAAAGAGCCTTTAGCAAAATGGACTAAAGGAAGAAGGCTTCAGATAGAGACATGGCCAGCACAAGAAAAGAGAAGAAAAACTTGTTATCACATGAGAACAAAAACGTGATGTCTTAGAACAGTGGCACAAATGTGGTTGCCATAACTCTAAAAGAGGAATGTTATGGTTGCTATTACAGAAGTCCATGTCACTGTTGGAATGCCAGAAGGGTGATGTGGAATATGGGCAGGGAGGCAGGAGGCATCCGAAAGAAAGGCTACGTCTCATCAGCCTGGTGGCCACGAGAAGGAGGAGGTGTGTCGCAGGGACAGCACGGGCGGGTATCTTAGCTCTGGCAATCCAGAACCACCATCACACGCACAGCCCTTCAGATCAAAGCTCCAGTTCACATCAGACACTGAAAGGAAATGGCGTGAGGTGATGGTGAAGACGCTTTTACCGCAAGTGTTGGTTGCTTCTGTTCCTTTAAAAAGCAGAATCAGCTGGAGGCATGGAGAGACAGCCGCTGCCGTGTGGAAGCATGTCTTACTGGGCAGGTTTTCCCTTGGAAAAGCAGACTGTGATAGGAGAAATAACAAACCTGGGAAGAAAGCTTGGCTTGGGACAGCTAGAAAATGGCGGCCTGGGAGTGATTCCCACTCAAGAGAATGCCCTGGTGTTGATCTCCATTATTTAGATCAACAGCAAGTTCTGGAAGGATGGAAAGGTGTGCAGACAGAGACGCTCGCCCTCATGAGCTTTGTTGTGCTTGGTCCCGGAGAGCAGAACTGGGGAGACATCACAAAGAGGCCCATTCAGGGTCAATAGAAAGGAATAATCTGAGGCTCGCTTCCTAATGGGAGGAGTGGTGAGGCCAAGTAAAGTAAAGGTCACCAAGGATGGTGACCCTGATGTCAGTGAGAGTGCACCAATTCTCCAGGCGTGGGTCAAGCTCTCTACATCTATCAGCATCTGCATGAAGACTTAAAGAAAGGGAAGGCAGTTCAGTCTGGGCTGCTAACATGATTTAAACAAAAATAATGACATTTTCATCACATCGGTGTAGGCTTATCTTGGGGTTCAGCAATTTTTTAAAAAATTAAACTTTAAAAATTTTTCTTTCTGTAACTGCTTTATTACTTTGTAATAAATTTGAACAGAAATAATGTTTTGTCCTTTGCTGTTATATTACATTAGTAAACAGATAAAACTTATTTTTAAAGTTTCTCATTGAATAATTCCATAGAGCTGGAACCAATTACCTTATTTTACATGCAATTATAACATTTAATAGTGCAAATCTGAATAATGCAATCACCTCACAGGGTTCATTATTCTCACTAATCAGGACCTGACTGCAAACTCCTGTGTAAACAAACATGCGCATGCATATTCATGCATTTACATACATGCAGCCCCCATACCCCCTCACGTGTATGCTCATGCCATCACAGACAATCTCATGCACATACACACTGCACCCACACCCCCTACACACACTCATCTTTCCTAATGAACTGAGCCCCATCACACCATTATTTGAGGCTTCTGATCCCAGGAGGGGCTGTCAATTAAGGCCATGATGCTTTCAGAGGGAGGGTCCAGTGTGCTGCCACTCAGCTGTGACCAGAAGCTGTGTCACTGCCGTGGCCCAGGCAGAGACAGAGACAAGACGCACCACTTGAGCGAAGGTGCCATCTTAGACACGGCTGCTTGTACAGCCTACTTTAAGGTCCACAGAGTGGATTAGAGACAATTCTTATCTGATCTTCCAAAGCTGAACTCATTATCTTTCCCTCTAAGCCCTCCCCTGCTACCTTCCCTATTACTTCCAAGGGCTTCTCGATCCTCCCAGTCTCTTGGGCTCCCCACCTAGGAGTCTTCCTGGACTCCTCCCTAACTCTCATCCCCATAAACAATATGGTGCCAAAGCTTGTGGATTCCACCTCTGCAGCATCTCTCAACATGCCCCCTCCTCTCCTCTGACACCCTGGTGCAGACCCTTGTCACCTCACGTCTGGACTATGACAACAGCTGCTGGAGGGGATCTTCCTGCCCCACTTCCATACTTCCAGCACATGATTGCTCTCTACAGTTTTACTTCTGCTTCATTCAGCTTTATAACCCTTAGCTAATTGGTCTCATTATCATAGTTCATTTTCAAAGGTAGCTACGTGTGAATATGGGGATAGGGAGGGGACTGTGAGCCGATGTGAATTGGGGGAGTGTGTGAGCAGAGGGGGCTGGCACCAGCCATGACCGAAGACGGGAATGCTGTCCTCAAGCTGCCGCAGTGACTTTCCCGAAGGTCAGGTAACCCTTGTCTCCAACGCGCTCCAGCGGCTTACTCTCATCTCTAAGGTGAAATACAAAGTCTTCTTTGGGGCGCTGAAAGCCTCCACACTTGCGCCCATCCCCCATCTCCACCCACAGTCAGCACCAGCCCAGTCCGACAGGCTCGCTCTTCCTCACTTAGCACATTCCGTCTACTGCCTTTACTTTACTGCCCCTGCACGAGGAGAAGCAGCCTCCTCGGCTGTGCCAAATGTCATCGACCAGCAGCTCCTCATCCTGGTCAAGTTGGGACCTGAAAGTGTACCCCCTGGGAGAAGGGACTGGGAGAGCGGGCCCGCCACGCCTTCTTGGGGAACCGTGCCGGGGAGGCAGGAGCCAGCTGCTTCGGTGGCCCAGGACGGAGCTGTTTCCTTAGCGTGGGACATCCTCAGCAGATATTTGAGGGAAAAAAGGGAGTTGAGGTCTCCTAAGCCTGTCCTGCCCTTCTGTCCAACCACACCCAGACCCTCCTACTGACTGATGCCTTTTCCTTTTCATACAGACGCTCTCTTCTGGCCTGGTCTCCACTCTTAATGACACAGAGCCAACCCTGGAGCCTGAGGTCATCACGGATGCCTCCCCGGAGCGCCAGAAGATTGTGGATGCCCAGTTCAAGTGCTTTGAGCGGATGAACAACAAGCCTCCCTACAAAAAAACAGGTAACCCCAGTGGGTGGGGCAGGGGCAGGGGCCAGGCCCTCTCATTCCCCCAGCTGCCCTGGGGCCTAGAAGTTGAAGTCAGGAAGGGGTCTCCCTCCCACCACACGACCCCAAGTTTGTAAGGTCAGGCCTGGGATGTTGGGCTGAGCGCCTCAGGACAGTCCTTCCCTTTCCTCAGATCTCCCCCAGACAGATACAGAAGCCAGAGGTCCTTGCAGACCATGTGGCTCCTGGTACACAGTGGCTGGAATCCTGGGCCCAGCTTGCCTTTGGGAGGGTAGGGTTGAGACAGGTCTCTGAGGAGTTGGGGGCAGGGGGTGTCTCCAGGCTTCCTTGGCCCAAAGGATACAAGATGGGCAGCCCTGCAAAGGCTCCAGCCAAAACGAAAAAGGAGGCCATGAGTCTCCTCTCTTGTCTGTGGGGCCATGGTCGCACGCCCTTCACAAAGCACAGCAGCCCTATTGATGGGATAGAACATATCCTGGGCAGATTCATGGATTTGGGCAGCAGCTTTCCAGACCCTAATCTGTGGCTCCAAATTATCTCCTTTTGGTTTTCAGCGTAATCCAGATTGACAAATTCTTGCAAATCTGACGCAGGCCATTGTTGAGGAAAAGGGGGGACACAGAGAAAGAGGCGGATAGATAAATGGGTGGCCAGAAAGACAGCAGAGACAGAGACAGTCTGACTTCACACCCAGGGTCAGCCAGAGCTGGACTCAAGAAACTGAAATTTGGGGTCATGAAAACCTTTCCTAACTGTGTGAACTTTGAACTGAACCTCCCCCACCTTCAGCTCCATGCTGCATAAAAGGGGTGACAATGCCTGGAGCACCTCCCTCCCAGGGCCACTGTGAGACACAGCAGGGATGGTGACCGTGCCAACAAAAACTCCACAGCTTAATGAAGCTCCTTTGGAGCAGAGGCTCGAGGGGGACAGGGGAGCCCCGTTCATGCATCTGAAAGGCTGTCGTGAGCTTTGTTGTGCTTGGTCCCAGAGAGCAGAACTGGGGAGACATCACAAAGAGGCCCATTCAGGGTCAATAGAAAGAAAATCCTCCTAAACACAAGAGCTTTCCCAGAGTGGAGCAGGTTGCCTGACAACTGATCAGCTCCGGCTCCCTGCAAGTCTCCACGAAGAGGCCCCTTTTGTTGTGCTGGGGGGTCCTTGGGGGTAATTGGAGCTGGACTGGAGGCCATTGGAATCCTTCCTATTCATCCTCGAAGGCCCCCTGACCCCGAGCTGCCTGAACTCCCAGGGGAAGGGGCAGCCCAGAGTGGAAGGAGCCATCCCGGCCTCCAGGGGCTGGGCTTTCAGGGGGACTCTTTCGGGCCCCAGGGCGTCCCTGGTTTTGATGAGGAGCATAGGAGGCCTCTGCTAGGGTACAGTCCCTCCACATGGGGATGTTGCAACCCCACCCCTTGGCCACTTCCATTATCTTCCCAGAGGCGCAAGGTGTGGAGGCTTCAGGTGGACTCAGGATGGAGCCATTTCTGATCTTACGGTTTTTGCCTTGCTAGGTCTGTTCTGCAACCGCACCTGGGATGGATGGCTCTGCTGGGATGATACACCTGCTGGGAAGGTCTCCGTGCAGAACTGTCCCGACTACTTCCCCGACTTTGACCCGACAGGTAAAGGATTCCTTCATGCTGCCATGTTTGGCCAGGAAGACGTTGGAGCCCTCAGGCGGAGGGAAAGGGGAGCAGACGTGAGGGAGAGTGGTCCAAGAGAGACTACGCTCCCCAGAACCAAAGCCAAAAAGTTTCCAGAAATAACACTGATAACAAGAGATGAGCTGTGGGGTCTGCGAGTGCCAAGGGCTCAGGGGAGTGAGATCTCCCTTTGATAGCAGGGGGTTTGACATCTGTCTCACAGGGAAGGTGGGGGGACTCCCTGACTGTTTGGGTCGGTGGAGCCACACATCGGGAAAGCCCCAAAGGAGGCGTCATGCTTATCTCTGTAGCACACTTTCCCTGGCTCGTGGGAGAAAGCTTTGGGCCCGCTGCAGGGACTTCCCTTAGCCTGTTGTCTCTGGCACTCATGCTTGGATTCTGGCATGAGCGCATCAGCTATTTCCCTTCGGTGGTTCATCCCTGGCCCCTGACAGATGTCCCATCCACGTGCTGGACAGGAGACCTCGGGGACATCTTATCCCTCTCTTCCATCTCACTCATCTGTACACTGAGGCAAAGATCAGAAGTGACCCACCCAGGGCCACACATCTAGTAAGCATCACAGACAGGCTTTGACCCAAAGCCTCTCCCGACCCAAGGGCAGTTATCCATCTCACCTCGTCTGGGGTGGGGAGGTCAGGCCGGCCAAGCAAGTGGTGCCTGGGGGCAAACCACTGATGGAAGCCTGGTGGCGAGCCTGTTTGTTTAGGGGTTGGGATTGCCGAGCCTACAGAGGCCAAAGCAGAGGGATGGCCTTTGTTTGGAGCCTACATTTTGTTCCTGACTTGGCCAAAAAGTTGGAGAGTTGGGCCTCTGGGACTGCTCTGCCAGGACCTTTGAGGGGGAGCGTCCATTGCCCTTTTTGCCCCTACGCTCATCCAGCCCTACTGGAGAAGCCATGGACTGTGGACATACAGGGAGGGGTGGGGCCAAGAGCTACACAGGAGAACCTGAGAGGCCATCATGGGGACCCTGGCCCCTGGGCAGACCCAGGATCCATGGGAGGGGGCTGCAAGGAGACAGACTTCAGCTAGAGGGCTGCATAGGCTTTCTTCGGAGGAGAGCTGTCCCTACATGGAAGGAGTCAGCTCAGGAGGCTTCCCCCTCCCCACTAGAAGGCTTCAGGCCAAGGCTGGGCACATCAGGTAGGCACCTCAGAGGAGATATGGTTCAAGTGAAGGTCACACTGGATGCCCTGAGGTCTCTGCCACTCTGGGCTGGAGAGATTCAGATGGTCTCAGGAGTGAATGAGACACTGAAGATGAAAAACAGCTGGGCCCTCCATCCCAGAGCCTCCCTGGGTGGTTAGCTGCCAACAGGATGGTGAGGGGGACTAGAACAGATTTGGCGGAAGCAAAAGAACGCCATGCTTTTCCCTCACTGAGAGACAAAGACACAGAGAGGAGAAAAGACAGAGATCCCTGGGGCTGATTGGCACTTTCTTTGGTTTCCACTTGACTACTCTGAAAGCTGCCCTCTTAGTACAGGAGCCTTCCAATCTCTAAGCCTTTGCTTGCTCTGTGCTCTTTACATCTGTGAGAAGGCAGAGCTGCTTCCCCATCCGAGGCACTGTCTGAGCCCACATCCGGTTGCCATGGCAACCTCTTGGCCCACCCCATCCCCCAGCCTCCGCTCAGCTTCTTAGCCTGGAGAACTGAGCTCACTTTTCTGCGTGTCCAACATCAGCCAGGATGGGGTTCAAGTAGGTGCCTGACCCAAGGGTCCCAGAGGCAGGGTCCCCCTCGATGACCCCCACTGAATCCCCAGGACAACCAGACAGAGCATCGGGCAGCTGCTCAAGGCCTTTTCACTGAGGCCAATCTCCAGAGTCCCTTCTGGAAGGGAGGGGAACGGTTATGGGTTCAAGGAGAGGAGAGGCCAGAGGGTCAACCTCTGACATCCCTGTTGGGTTCCCCGTCTTTGTCCTAAAAATGGGCAGTCCTGAAGAAAGCCCCAGTCAGCAATGCTGCTGTCCCTGGTGCCAACCCCCAAAGTCTCTGTGGTCAGGGAGCAGAGGATGGCATCTCTGCCAGCCTCACTTCTGGCTGGTTTGGAAGAGGCCAGACTCCGAATGCCCCTTGGAGCAGATCAGCTTCCCCTTCCTGGGCTGCTGGGGACTCATCTGTTCCTATTATGCCTCATTTTTATAGAACAGGCCTCCAAGTACTGCGATGAACATGGGAACTGGTTCCAACATCCCGAGAGTAACCGGACCTGGTCCAACTACACATTATGCAACTCATTCACGTCAGAGAAACTGAAGGTGAGCTCGGTCTCTAGCCCCTAACAGAGGTGGAAATGTGGGAGCCTGTGCCCTCATTGTGAATGGTTGGCTGCCACCGAGGGGCCAACACGGCCAAAGCTGCAGCCCCTCCTGGGGCTCTGGGGAAGCCGCCGGGCCACAGCTTGGGGTTCTGCCTGCCCTCCAGCAGAGGGTCAGAAAGAGACAGATCCCCTCCCACCCACCAGCCCCTTAACCAACATCTGCCTCAGAGATGCCCAAAGTTGCCTGCCCTATGATGACTAAGAGGCACTTGTCAGTGGAGGTGGAGAGGAACGTGTGGAGAGGAGCATCAGAGTGCAGAATTCCCAGACCGGAAACTCCCTCTCCCCCAGCACTTCCACTGAGGATGAGCAAATAATCTCTCATGGACAGTCTGAGAGAGTTCCCTTGGCCTGAGAGTCTGAGTTACCTGCTCAGAGTTACACAGCCAGAATGCATCAGAGACCAGGCTCGAACCCAGATCATCTTCACTCTGAGACCTGCTCGCTATCCACTGCACTACACTGCCTCTCAAACAGAAATATCAGGAAACACTTCTAAGTACTATCAATTTGCAAAGTTAATATCATTAACAAATTGGTACTAGGTACTAGGAAAGGAGCCCACTCAAACAACCAGTGGGGAAAGCAGAGAATCTGTTGGGCTATAAAAATCTGGGAAGAGCAGGGAGCATAATTTATCTATGAGAGGAAAAATTGGTCAGTGCCTGTTACTGGCACCCAAGATTCCTGATAGCTCCTGGGGATGTCAGTCCCATCATACTCAACCAACATACTCAAGTACTGAGTCTGGGATGGAAATACTCTGGGCTTTCTGGGCTATCCAGAAACTCTCAGAGTTGGGGAGGGGGTGGGGAATTTTGTTTTTATTCAGAAGAAAATCCTAATGGTTGACCAGATAGCAAAGACGTCTGACAAGCATCTCCTGGCATAGGCAGCATGTGGGCACGGGCCGAGGGGGCTAGAGCCCGTCATCTGCTGGCACATTGTTCAGTGACCCTTGAGAAATCAATTTCATTAGATCCCACTTCCTAATGGAAAGCCGTTCAGCTAGTCTGGTCTAATTGAAATGGCACGCTCCCTGAGTCATCACATGCTGATTAATATGCTGCAAATGACAAGAGTGGCAAAGTCAAATACACAGACTTCTGGGACAGTGGCACACAGCTCCCACCCCAGGCTTAGGCCGCCTTGAATGGTAGCCCTATCTGTGTTCCCCACATGCCAATCTAGGACTCCTGCAGTAAGAACCACAATGGAATGAACCCAGGAGAGCCAGCCCCTTGGGCAGCACACCCCCTTTCGGCATGAGAATGAGCCAGAAGTAACAAATGAGGGACTGACTGTCCATGTAATCCCAACAGGGATGAATCTCACAAATAGATGCATGAGCCCTTTAAGGAAATGCAGCTGTGAAGAGGATGCAAAGACCTACCCAGGATGAAGACTGTCTCCAATGGACTTATTGGCCACCTAAAATGAGAAGCAGTGACCCTGGTGGCAGATTCCTTCATGGGGGAGATGAAACATTGCCCTGTTGGCATTCTCAGGACAGATGAAACCAGGAGAAATGGAAAACTGCCGCTACCACTGGTGGCAGGACGGGATAATAGGCTCTCCCCAGAGGGGGAAAGGAAGAGCACCTCAAATGTAGCAGGAAGCCTCACTTCACAGGGCATTTGTCCATCTCCCCTGGACATCATCCAGATGAGCAGGAATGACTGGACAACAGGAGGGGCAGCGCGTGGGGGTGGGAATCTGGCCCAGGGGAGACAGAAGCAAGTGAAGCGCCCAGTGAGCCTCTCCAAACCAAGCTCTCTCCCCCCACCCATCTTGACCCTCAGTGCCTTCCATGCAAAGGTGGATGCGCCCAAGGGACATGGACCCAGTGGGCTGAGGGACACGGACCCAGTGGGCTGAGGGACACGGACCCAGTGGGCTGAGGGACATGGTCCCAGTGGCCTGAGGGACATGGACCCAGTGGCCTGAGGGACATGGACCCAGTGGGCTGAGGGACATGGACCCAGTGGGC